ACAATGGTACTACTTTCTGTCTTCCTCTACAGGTTATGCCTTATACATATAGTCTATATTTCTATATAAACTTATTAACCGGATGAAATTTCTTATAATGAATTTATTTGAATATGATAATTATGATAAAAATTACGAAAGATAAATTGTTAAATTATTATTTTGTAGAAGCGAATGGAAACAAAGAGACGTCAGCAATTGGAAATGGATCTTCAAACAAAGGCGAATCCATCGATGAAGACGATGATGAAGTAAGAAAATATTTTTTAAATATTTTTTTACTTTATAAATTTATTGTCATTCTTTGCTAAACTTTCACTTTGAATAGTGTTTTGGTATATTTAAGATTTTCGTTTTTTCTTCTGTGTCTACAACGATTCTATACATTTTAAATGACAGCACGAAATCATTCGGGTTATAAATTATATGTTCAAAATTAAAAAAATAATGCATTAATCAAATTGTAAATATTTAAATATTACTTTAAGAATGGGCAAAGTTATGAAAAGACTAATTAAGATATTTAATTATTGAAGAATTTTGTGTTACAAACGAACATTTGATCATTTTTGCTGGTGGTTTACAAAATCCATTGAATTTGATTAATGCACACTTGTAAAAGTTCAGCATTTGAATTCATTTCTTATATTTAACGATTTTTGATAAAATTTACAGAAGACCACTCGTGTCTTTCTAATAGGAAATTTTTAACTCTTTCAAAAGATTTAATTATATCATTTTTCATTATTTCCGATTATTTATTGTAATTATGCTTCCATTACTTTCGTAGTAGTATTTTTAAACCAACATTTTTACATAAACTATGGATAATTTAATCTTCATATTTCATTGACGAAATATTTATATTATTAGCAGGAAACAACAAAATGNAATTTTAATATCTATTATATTTACTTAATTACTGCGACATTGATATAACGAGAAAGAGATTCGCTATATAATTACTGCGACAGGTAGCATATCGCACTTGCCTGTGTGCAAAACGAGTGTTACCCTGTGAAAAATCTACTGTATAAGTATTTAATTTTCTACATCTATCCACTCGGGTTTTTTTTATTTCTAAGCAGTACTTTCTTAATTTTAATAAGCGCGTTCCGGTAGCCGAGTGCATAAAACCACCACCAAACCCTGGCAGTTGGTCATGGGTTTGGGCATGGCAAATGGACTGGCCACATAACTAATTCTAACAACCGATTATTTGTTGTGGCATCGTCACAATGCCGGTCTGCAACTTTTCGTCACAATTTTCTCAGTTTTTTAGTAGTGCCCCTGTACATTATACAGTATTTTTCCTGTTGGCAATAGAGTCGTGCCAGTCATCTATCTAATTTCGTTCAGGGATGTTAATTAGCAAGTTCATATGTAGGAAATTTATTCCTTGAATATAAAAAAAACTGCTCAATCATATCCTAATATTGAATCGTCGCCGCTCGTATGACAGAGTGAAAGCGTGTCGTCTTTGCATCAAATGGAACCGACTTCGCTCGTGTTTATAGAAGTACTGTACCACGATAAACTACGACTTTATATCGTGGAAAGTACCCTTTCTGAAATTTACTGTTTTTATGATACACTTAAATGTAGACCATAAATGCCAGAAATTTACACTAAAGAAATAAATGTACTTATTTTTTGATGATGATAATTCAAAACGCACATTTTACACCTTTTTAAGATATATATTTAATCACAAAAAGACGCATTCAAAAATAGTATTCCAAACATGATTTCTATAATTCGTTACGAAAATATTTCTGAGCATAGACTTATAAAAAGCTCTTTTCAATTTGTGTATTAATATTTTGTTGTATTATACTAGCAAACACTTTATTCTAAAAGTTAGTTTATAAAATAGACATCAAAATTTTATGATATATATTTTTTTTCTTTTTGTTCTTTCTGCCCTGTGGACAACAAAAGGACATTTTTTCGGGCCTTTTATGGGTACATTCAGGCCCGTAATGAGATTGCAAGTCAACGAGGGATGGAACTAACATATCCGGAACAGACCAATCCCGAAAAATTCCTGGAGTTTCTCCACCGTCTAGATTTGATGCTGGGGTCTTCGGTCGTGAAATCCCTTCTCTTCTCGTTCTCGTCTCGTCAAAAACGAAAAGATATGATCGGTCAGAAAATTGTCTATTGATTTGGAATTTTTGTAATGGTATGTGCGCATACTAAGTGTAAGCTGTACAGTACAGTACGTTTATAACCTTCTATTTTGATTTTATTAAATGTGCCAAACCTAACTCATTCAAGGGACCTGGTGACCTAACAGAGAGCAAAGAAACCTGTAACTAGTCAATTTTCAGTTTTTTGTTCAAGAATGTGATGTTCTCGATTCTCCTAGAGATAAGCTAATGCCATAACAACCTCAGCCATGCAACTGGCATAGTTCAAATTCTATGGTGTTATATCATCGTAATGGCCTATATATATATTAATAGATCGCCAATGGATCTTGTTACACTTGCAGCTCTGCTCATGCACAATTATTTCCACGCAATCCAGATTCATTAGCCTGATGACTGAACGGTTTAGATTGCAGCCTATTGTTTTGGGGAACCCTGGTTCAAATCCGGACGAATCAAAAATTTCTAGGTATTTTTCGGAGGTAGTCCGTTCGGATATATCAGACCCGTTCGATATATCCAGGCCCGTTCTTCATTACACCAAGCATTTTCAGAAACCCGTTATCGTATGTTCAGAAAATCCAGATCACAAAGTACAATTTTTTACAATGTTTTGAAACAGAATATTTTCTCTGTTTCAGATCTTAGAATCTAATATATTTTTCAAAATACTGTATTCATTATTATTTGGATAGCAGACGATTTCCACAGAAAGTCCATTAGTGGCCGAATAGACAAAACCATTAAACGCTAGTAATTTATTGTGGGTTCAAGCCAATTCAACGGGCTGGCCTCATGTTTTCCAGGTATTTTTTGTGTTTAACACCTACCGTAAATAGAGACCAGATTCCCATAGAAAGTACTCTCGAAAGACATCCTTTGGTACCCAAGGGATGCCTTTCGAGAGGACTTTCTATGGGATAACGCCGAAATATTCCATCAATTCATCCATCCAATCTCCACAGTTCGATCATCCACATCTGCTAAAATAAATCGTTTTTATTGGCTTTGTACGCATGTAGCCTATATATATATATATATAAATATAAAAGGTACTAGCAAGAATTCAAACTAAACGGCTTTGATGTCCACCAAACTTTTACAAAAGTTTTGCTAAAAGTCATTCTACTATATGTAAGTGTAATAAAGTCCATTTCAAACCAGTTTTCTCCAATTCAATCTTTTAGGTCTTTTAGATACAGGATTTAGACTACCATTATGAAGGCTGAATGTCCGAGCGGTTAAGTTTATGCTTATAAAGATGAAATTGCATGGAAACAAATGAATTTTATTTAAAATGTTACTCAAAATTACAAAAGCTTAAATTTTTGCCAATTAAAACTTTTTATAACGATTTTAGTAAATGGCGTCCAATAGCAGGATGATAAAATATATTTTGTATAAACATAGATGACGTCATCGTTTCTAACGTCAAAGTTGAAGGCAATTTCCTTTATAGCGATTTTGCTAAATTGTATGATTATAGGCCTACAGTAACATACAAATGGACTATCTATATTCATGCAGTCCTTATCCCGAACAGTTTGTAGATATTTATCCTTTCCGAATGTTTCAGCCTAGGCAATTCTATCAAACGATGTTGTAGTTACCTACCGTTTGATAGAATTGCCTAGGCTGAAACAGAGCCTTGTGGTAGGTAACTACCACAAGGCCCTCTGTTCCATCTATAAGGAGATAGTAAGCACGATAATAAGTCCGATGTAGTAAGCACACAATTCTAAAGAGTGAAACAGACGCCATCGAAAGAAAATAGTGCCTCGATCGAAACAACTTGAAAGTTAGAAATCTCCAAAACCTTCGTAAGAAGAACGATAGTTAAAATAGGAGAAAGCTTAAGTAACAACACATGTAAATAAACTATTGAACCTAAAACGAGCAGTAAATTGTTAATTAGAAAAGAAAAATAATAGACTACGCAATAGTAAACTTACACATATATTATGTGATTAACGTTATACAATTTTATTTATTGCAACAACTTAAACTGTTATGACACTTTGAATTTCACAAGAGTCCCTTGCTTTTACAACTTCTTTTTTGCAATGACAGCGTGTATAGCCTTGCCCTCCGCTATTCGAAAAGTTGCAGCCTGGCATCAATAATCGCTGGTTAAAATTCATTTGTTTATTTGGTTACGGCAACTCGACACTTGAGTGACGTACGAGGAAAGATGCATCCCGGAATGAAGTTTATGTGAAGTTGGCTATATACGAACTTCCGATTTGTACCGTAATTCATGTTATTTCAATACAAAAATTTTCCCCCAAACGATGTTAGATACATAACCGGCACGGCTCTATTGCTAACGGAAAAGGTATGATGTACGGGGGAAAAACACTGCTACACTGCACGCAGGCGACTGGTATGTGCTATCTGTCGCATTAACGACCTATTAACGCATCTATTTCGCGCTAAATTATTGTGGAAGTAATTTGGTAAATATAATATATATTTTATTGAATTATGCCCCTTCTTGTAGTTAATTATTTTGTTAAATTTTTATCGATAAATGGCTCTACGAGTAATCCAGGAAATCGAATATAAACAAAAATCAATTGATTTATAGAAATTCAATCGATATTTTGGGGTGGAATGTACGACATGATGTACAGTACATTAGAAGAATTTGAAAGTAAGTACCGAGTTCCGTAGCAATTGATCGAACGACCGAGAAGTGACAAACAAACATTCTCACTTATTATCGCACTCGTCTTACTTTGTAGTTACACACCAAAAAAATAAATACCCCAAAATAAAATTGATCGACATGCGTAATTCTTAGCACGCGCTGCTATTATCGTTCGGTAAGCCCGTTTTCCATTGTTACATAAACAATAAATATAGAGAATACTTTTGCTGCGATTGTTCAGTGAAAAATTAGCGAATACAAAAGTTTAATTTACAAAATGAATATTTTGAGTAAGTTAAATACTTTTTATTGTATAATTATATTAATTAACTGTTTAATAACGTGTTCGCAATGAATATAAAGACATGCAATTAACAGTAATATTCTACGGCATGTTTAGAAATCCCAATAAAAATGTTATACGGTGAAACGATATTTAACTTTGCATTCGTTTTCTGCTGGAAACAATTATTAAACGGCATTAAACGTATTTTATGCAAATGAATAACAATCAATTATTTTATTTCTGCATCATTTCTAATATTTAAATATTGGGTTCCATTAAGATGAATAGCAAACAGACAGTAGCAAACAGAAATTACAACAGCATTTTTACAATAAGATAAGATATTCAAAAATAAGATTAAAATCTCTTGTTAATTTAAAATAATCTTATAAAAAGTTGTCACAACTGTAATATAAATGAACATTTGATTATTTACAGTTTTGAAGTTAATCTAAAAACTGAATATATAAAGCACATTTTATTCACACTTTTTAATACTTCTATCAATTAAGATAAAGTAAGCTTTTGAGTATATTTTAATAAATATCCGTTCATTTACTTCGACTGAGAATAACTTTTCAGTAATATTACATTTTCAGTTGACTTTATGATCGAAACAACTTACACTTTCCACACAATTAATAATATCAAATCACAATGCAATATTTATGCTGATATATCACGTTTAAATTAAAAAATTTCTAAATAGAAATCAATTGATTTTTTTCTAATTTTTATCTTATATTTTTGTGGATTTGCTGTAGAATAGAGTTCCAAAATATTTTACCAGAATAAAAATTTCATCTGTTTATTTGGTGTAAACTTTCTGTTTTTTGCTTTGTTTCTCTTTCTCAAATTCGTATATAATTTTTGAATTGTGGAGAAGAAAGTTTTACGAATTTCTGTGTTTATTGCCTAGATGATAATATTGAAATGGAAGTCCATGATAGCGATGGACGTTTACCATCTAATCCGAAAAAGAAAAGCATAGAAGATTCCCGTACAGAGATGAAAAATGCTCTCATGCAACTAAGAGCTTTGGCGGGACGGAATAGCAAAAGAATTGCTGATGAAAAGAGAAAAAGAGAATCGTCTTTTATTGTAAGTTACAATTTAATTGAAACTAATTTAATAATTCTTATCATTTAAAAATTTAAAACTGAAAAAACCCATTTCAACAATGCACAATCTTATAAAATACGTTATTTAAAATGGCTGCAAATTGTTTGTTTATTATTTAAAAAATATTTTCTGAGTTTAAAAAAAAAACCTACGAATATTGTAAGATTATCGTATGAGGAATCAGAATTTTTTCACTTTTTACAGGCCGCCGATGAAATACTGGGAATAAACGAAGAACCATCAGTATCAAATAATAAAGAAAAAGTATTGGATAAAGGTGAGGTCACAAATACATTATAAAAAATTTTCCGATTCATAAAATAATTTGTTTAAAAATTATTAAGGAATGATTTAATGTTAAACTCATTGTGTTAAAATCTCTTTAAATTTAGTAACATAATATTAATTATCCACCCGCCGTCTTTCTCGTGTGTTGCGTGTCGTAGTTTATTATATTCGAAACAATTCAAAAATAGTAAAAATTAATTTCAAAATGTTTATTTCTAGAAAGATCCATTTTATTTCATCAAAAACACTTTTGATAATGATATTTGTTACTGTTTAAATAACAACTTTAACGTACATTAAATAAAAATTCACCGAAAACATTATTCAGGTGGAGTGAACAAACGAATGAAATGATCGCAAAAGACACAATGTTGTTTTTTTTTACATAATTCATTGTTTTGCTGTGTACTCATTACTGATATCAAATTTAATTGACAAGTAATTTATCGTCTGTCAAAGTATACGTCAAGAAATTTCTAATAATCTTTAAATTTTCTGCAATTTTAACACATAAGCAATTTTAACACAAAAATAAAATTAATCCAATTATGGATTAATTTTATTTTTCGGCTGCTATAATAATTTAATCGTGAGGCATTTGACCTTTAGTGTTTTTGGAATCGTCGTATTTTGACACCTACGCACACGAAATAGTGAAAAAAGTAATTCCCTAAATATATGTGTATGTGTGAGTGTGAGACTACGTCTATTTCGTTTAATATTTCGGGAAAGTAAACATTATAAACCGAAATTTTCACGGTAACTTGAACATAAGGGACATCGAGGCTATTCAATTTTGATGATTAAAGGTCGAAGAAATAAAAATAGAAGTGGGTCACCCATCACGTCTGGTGGAGAATCGATTTTTATGAAGATTTTACACGTTATTAGCACTTACAATATTGTATACAACTCATCCGTATTTTTAAAATTAAGCTTTCTCTTAATTCTTTGAGAGTGTGACATTGACAGATAATGTTTAAATGTAAGATAAACGTTTGTAGAACTGAGACATCGAGAACTAAATTCGAATTATTGTGATATGTAACACAAAAGTTAAATGTAAATTCTTGTATATAAAGTCGATAAAGTCGGTGTGATTATTATTATCGAAACCCGTTTATTTAATAGAAGTCGAACTCGTAATCTGCACCCGTATTCAAGTCCAATTAAAACACAGACAATTCGTTGAACGTACGCAGATTTTTGTAGTGTATCATATTTTGAATGCTTTAATTCTTTCACAATGAGAGAGATCTGAGTTCAAATTTATTTTCATAGTAATTGTATTATATTACGTCACTGTTTATACAATGGTACTACTTTCTGTCTTCCTCTACAGGTTATGCCTTATACATATAGTCTATATTTCTATATAAACTTATTAACCGGATGAAATTTCTTATAATGAATTTATTTGAATATGATAATTATGATAAAAATTACGAAAGATAAATTGTTAAATTATTATTTTGTAGAAGCGAATGGAAACAAAGAGACGTCAGCAATTGGAAATGGATCTTCAAACAAAGGCGAATCCATCGATGAAGACNCATTATACAGTATTTTTCCTGTTGGCAATAGAGTCGTGCCAGTCATCTATCTAATTTCGTTCAGGGATGTTAATTAGCAAGTTCATATGTAGGAAATTTATTCCTTGAATATAAAAAACTGCTCAATCATATCCTAATATTGAATCGTCGCCGCTCGTATGACAGAGTGAAAGCGTGTCGTCTTTGCATCAAATGGAACCGACTTCGCTCGTGTTTATAGAAGTACTGTACCACGATAAACTACGACTTTATATCGTGGAAAGTACCCTTTCTGAAATTTACTGTTTTTATGATACACTTAAATGTAGACCATAAATGCCAGAAATTTACACTAAAGAAATAAATGTACTTATTTTTTGATGATGATAATTCAAAACGCACATTTTACACCTTTTTAAGATATATATTTAATCACAAAAAGACGCATTCAAAAATAGTATTCCAAACATGATTTCTATAATTCGTTACGAAAATATTTCTGAGCATAGACTTATAAAAAGCTCTTTTCAATTTGTGTATTAATATTTTGTTGTATTATACTAGCAAACACTTTATTCTAAAAGTTAGTTTATAAAATAGACATCAAAATTTTATGATATATATTTTTTTTCTTTTTGTTCTTTCTGCCCTGTGGACAACAAAAGGACATTTTTTCGGGCCTTTTATGGGTACATTCAGGCCCGTAATGAGATTGCAAGTCAACGAGGGATGGAACTAACATATCCGGAACAGACCAATCCCGAAAAATTCCTGGAGTTTCTCCACCGTCTAGATTTGATGCTGGGGTCTTCGGTCGTGAAATCCCTTCTCTTCTCGTTCTCGTCTCGTCAAAAACGAAAAGATATGATCGGTCAGAAAATTGTCTATTGATTTGGAATTTTTGTAATGGTATGTGCGCGTACTAAGTGTAAGCTGTACAGTACAGTACGTTTATAACCTTTTATTTTGATTTTATTAAATGTGCCAAACCTAACTTTCAGTGACATTCAAGAAACCTGGCGACCTAACAGAGAGCAAAGAAACCTGTAACTAGTCAATTTTCAGTTTTTTGTTCAAGAATGTGATGTTCTCGATTCTCCTAGAGATAAGCTAATGCCATAACAACCTCAGCCATGCAACTGGCATAGTTCAAATTCTATGGTGTTATATCATCGTAATGGCCTATATATATATTAATAGATCGCCAATGGATCTTGTTACACTTGCAGCTCTGCTCATGCACAATTATTTCCACGCAATCCAGATTCATTAGCCTGATGACTGAACGGTTTAGATTGCAGCCTATTGTTTTGGGGAACCCTGGTTCAAATCCGGACGAGTCAAAAATTTCTAGGTATTTTTCGGAGGTAGTCCGTTCGGATATATCAGACGGACTACCGTTCGATATATCCAGGCCCGTTCTTCATTACACCAAGCATTTTCAGAAACCCGTTATCGTATGTTCAGAAAATCCAGATCACAAAGTACAATTTTGTGAGATTTTTTCAATGTTTTGAAACAGAGTATTTTCTCTGTTTCAGATCTTAGAACCTAATATATTTTTCAAAATACTGTATTCATTATTATTTGGATAGCAGACGATTTCCACAGAAAGTCCATTAATGGCCGAATAGACAAAACCATTAAACACTAGTAATTTATTGTGGGTTCAAGCCGATTCAACGGGCTGCTTTTATGTTTTCCAGGTTTTTTCGTGTTTAACACCTAAGTAGAAACCAGATTCCCATAGAAAGTACTCTCGAAAGGCATCCCTTGGATACCAAGGGATGCCTTTCGAGAGGACTTTCTATGGGATAACGCCGAAATATTCCATCAATTCATCCATCCAATCTCCACACTTCGATCATTCACATCTGCTAGAATAAATCGTTTTTATTGGCTTTGTATGCATGTAGCCTATATGTATCCAGTAGAGCGTCGATTATCAAAATCAATTGGGGCCTGGGGTTGTTCGGAAAATCGATGTTTCGGATAACCGATTATAAACGAAAAAATATATTAATTGATCCCATCTTGACATTTTTCTCTGTTGCATATTGCTTCGCGTTGAATTTTCGTCGATGTTAAGCCTAACAAAGACTATTGTAGCGTTAAAAATTATTTTTTTATTTTGTACGTACAAAATAAATATATTGAAAAATATTAAAACAATAAAAAATTATACTTCAGAAGTTAATTTAGTATCAGAAACGTAAAATATTTGAGTAGCCGAAGACATAGCCAAAGATTGCAGCGCCACAGCACTGGCGAAAATTTAAATTTGTCGACTGGAATTCCTTCGGATAACCGAC